ACTTTTCTTTCTGGATATGGCTATTGTCCACACTAACAGGGTTGATTTGCAAGGGTATCCGGTAACTTTTGAAATCAGGGTTAGTGTAGATACGGAAACTTTTGTATCAGAAAAGGAGAGTTTTTGGATACTGAAGTTTCCGGGTTAGTGTGGACAGGGCCTTAAATGTGGAAAATCCAGCTGGGTGCCATACCCTAAATCTAAGATTATGTTACACACCCCAAGGAAATCCATTTCTCAAAATTGGTGTTATCCCCTGGGCATCCAGGGCCAAACTTGCGATACTCTGAGGATATCCAAGCTCAATAGGGGGTTACAGATAACAAATTAAATAGCCATTGTAGAGGTGATTGAGACAACACGAGAAGATGAACCTTGTATCTCAGAGCAATTTATTATTTCAACATCAATGAAAAAGCAGGACATAATATTGCTGCACAATTCAATCTCTACCCTGGAGTGCTGTAGTCATGGTATGGTTCACATGTGAACATAATTTATCAATATCTTTTCCCTATCAGGTTTACATTCTCAAACAATCCTGCTATTTTATTGATATCTTAGCAGGGCTCAAAATTAAGAAAACAAAAAAAGGCATATTTTCACAACTAATCCTGAAATTTAAGGCTTTAACACTTTTCACCTTATTATCAAGCATAATTTTAAGCCTTATTGATTTTATTGTTATAGTATAGGAACTTGTAGCAGGTGGAATTTCAAGTTCTGTTAGGAAGAAATGAATATGATCCCCTGGAATATGTTGTCAATGATTTTGTACTATTTCAAGTGTTGTTTATTGTTGTATTTGCATAATTAACATAAATTGCTAGACAAATTGTATGATTCAAGTTCTCACTTTCAAGATTTACTGTCACCAATGAATTATTTGGTTTCTCTCTTTTACTACAAATAATTAGCAATGTCTTGTGATAATTTTTCTGTTGGTATCATCGACTCTGAACATGCAAAAATATAATTTTTTACATAAGTTTTGATTTGGCTTTATAAAATAATATGATTTGTTTTTTTGTATTTTGTAAATTTATATCTCTATCTGTATAAACTTCTGAAATAATTGTTTTGTGGATTAAAATTATTTTGAATAGATCTAGGTAGATAAATATGATGTCCATATAATTAACAAATACTTTTTATCATTTAAATTTTGTTCATATCATATATTATAATAAGCAATACATCTTAATATATTTGAATTAATATACCTTGATTCATAACAAAACATAACAATGTACTGTACACTTCCTTGATGACAAAATTATTCTAAATCTAGCAATCTGTGTTCAATAAAGGATATATTTAAACATCAGTCTTAGTTTGGACTATTGAACTATTTATGTTAGTAAAGGTATTAATCCACAGGCAAATTTTATATGCAAATAAGGTTAGCTTGCTTATCCTGGGGTCAAAGTGTGTAGATCAGATACCATGCTAACATAATTTAGATGCGAGAAATGCTCCTGTCAAGACATAAAAAATAACAAAGGTCAGGACACTTGCTGTACATGATTAAAACATGTAATGTTCTCCATTTGAACTACCCGTACCTGTATTGTTTGGCTGTTCAGCATTCATGTTAAACTGTGCGTGGGTTCTGCCTACAGCTGAATCATTATGATATGGAGTAAAACCTCCCATATAGTGGTTATTGAACTGTGGTGGGTAGGCTTGAGGTGCAGGATGGCGTGTGTCAGCAATAGCATTTGCTAGCATCCTCATTCCAGTTGCAATGCCTTCCCCAAGAGATGTCAGACATGCTGTCATTTTTCCAATGGACTCTTCCATGATTTTATTTGATTTGTCAAATGACTTGAGCATCTCTCTTTTCATGAACAGGTCCTCTTTCGCAGTATTCATCAGAAGTTGGTCTCTCTGAGCCTGAGAGAGTGCCTTTTCCGTGTGTTTCCTTTTGTTGTCCACCAGTTTGGGAATTGTTTTGACTGCAATATTGGACCTGGATGGTTGTGGGTCATCTAATAGGCTGTCTGGAGGTAGTGGCGAATCAGACTGTGCAGAAATGCCTAAGAAAAGATTAAATCAATGTGATGTGAGAGTGCTGTCGACCAGGACATTTGTAAAAAAAAGAAATACAATGCAAAATCTGAGGCTACATGTATTTCTTTAATGCCACAGCAGGTTAATTGATTTAAATCTGTTGGGGAGTGGTGTGGAGTTGTTGGCAAGTAAGGTTTAACAAGGGCTCTTCCCCGGTGTGAGAACCTGTGAAACTCCCAAATGACGTAAAACAAACAAAGCAAAAGAAACAGAAGTATAGCTCCAACATGAAACAATGAGTAGAGCGAGGAGAATACAATGGAATAAATTAACAGGTTCTTACACTGGGTTAAACCCGTTCTGAGGGTTTCCCTGGGTTTTCCTCCCTTTTCAGTTACACTGTGCTCACTACAAGCCACTTGCAACTGCCAGAGGCACCTTCATTGCCATCCCAAGGGATGTACTCAGGAATAAAGTGTTGGGTAGGTTTGACAGAGTACTGTACCAAATTTTATACCCAAAATAATACCTGTCATAAATAATTATTTTGCTCCCAAAGTTTAGCCAAAAAAGGTCAAAAAGTACCCTAAGTTTTTTAAATTGATGTTTGTGTTTCCAAAAAGTGAAGAATATTTTCATTTTGTATGTTTATCGTAAGTCAAAATTTATACCAAGAATGTAAGAAAAGGTCACACTGAAACATGAGATGACATGTAACTTACTTTCATCGGTTGAATCCAGCAGTGGCTGACTATCCAGTTCTTCCTCAGTACCTTGAGCACTATCGCCATCAACTCCGAAGGGGAGAGCAGTTGTTGCGGGCGAGCCACCCCAAATGTCAGCTAAAAGTTCAAAGTTTTCCTGGACTATTTTGCCGCTACAGCTTCTAGTCCCCTTGTTCACCGCGGTTCGAAAATCCTGCCTCACATTTCGGATCTTCTCCTTCACGCGGTCATAGCCTTTCTTGATAAGCTCCTGTTCCTTATTGAGAGTCTTCTTGAATGCCTGGTATTCTGAACTGTCCATGTCTTTGATGGGCATACTATGCTCAGTAGTGACTTGTGGCCCGAATTCCTCCGGGTAATCTTTTGCCAAGCATTTGCGAATCTCTGTGTACATGGCCGCCAGATCTTGCTTGAAATCTCTACCATTGAACTCGCACGTGGATTTGTATTCCTTTAAATACGCGAGCAGCAGCTCTATCCGATCTGGGGACCAAACCATAACCTTTCTTTGGTTTTCAGGACTCCTTTTAGCCACTTTCACCTTTATAGATTTCTGCTGAAGAACATCTGAAGGTTTTCGCTTTCTCTTTGAGTTCGTATTCGTATTTTGCCTTGGGGCATCCAATTCCAATGAAATCAGGGCCTGATCAGACTGAGATGCTGCGGTCTCGCTTAAACCATCAATATCCTGACTATTTTGCCCCAAATTTGAGCTGTCAAGTATATTTTGGAGGCGTTGTTTGCGGAAAAGCTCACCAGGTTGATAACGAGTGGACGCCATTTTGTTTTCCCGCTTGTTTTTGGCGGGCTAAATTGTCGAATGCCTGTATGAACCTCACCCCGGTACCCCGGGGTATAGTGTTCACATGGAAAAAATCTACCCCACTCAGGCGGGCAATTAAACCAAACTTTTGTGTGTAAGTAGGACGGTTCATGTTGTAGTTATTTTTAAGGTATAAAATGATTGGTATAATTTGTCATTATATCGTGATTTTGTGCTTAATATGCCACTGCAAACAAAACGAAAACTAAGAAAACTTTGTGAACTTCAGATGATGAAACCCTTGTCCATTTTCCAAAGTTCTAGCAGCTCTATATGTGCTTTATTCTCTTTTAAAAATTTTTGCAACTTTGTTGACCATGGAAAACATCATTTGCTGGCTATTTCATTCTCCCTCTCCCTCCTTCTCAGCCAGTTGTCCAAAAAATTTGTGATCATGTTTCTGACTTTCATTCAGGAAAACAAAATACTCGGTGTTGCTGGGGCTTTGACTGTTAGACTCCCTTTTTTCTTGGGCTTTTAACAGCTGGTTGTTTGGTAGCGGGCTCCTTTTCGTTGGTCTTTCTTGCACATTTATGCTTGAAGAATAGCAACTCAGAAAATGCAATATCGTTATTCCTGGCCATACTAGACACTGTAGATTTTGGGCACTGTTGTTTTGAAGAATTCTTCTGTGGAGATAGTTTGCACCTAAATGTGATTGACCTTCTGCGGAATGGCAGACTTTCTACTAGAACATGACAGGGAGATATTCATTGACAGGCTCCTGTCTTCAAACCCACAGTCAATAATGGATTTCGGCGTGATTTTGGGATGGCAACCTAGAATTTTGTTTAATTCTTTGTAAGATGTGAAGGTTTTGTGATCATTACCACTTTTATTATTTTGATCTTTAATGTGCTTGTACTTGTCTTCTAAATTCTGTATCTTTGCCTTGCATTGGTTTCCTGTGTGAATGGACCCAATGCCCTGTTCCCTTAACAGCTTATTTAGCTCACAGACAATTGATTTCCAAATGGAGGAATTGTGCCGCTTGCTTATGGGGTGATGGTCTCTCCATACATATTTTAACAAGGAAAAATATCGCTGAAAAGTATCGCTGACAAAAGGTTGTACACAGGTGGAATAATGAAAGCAGACCTAAAGCAAATGATTTGTTATGTTGGCTGGTTGCCTTACATTTCCAATGTTTCATTAAAAATGAGATACTCACCTGGCATGGCTTAAATGCAGATCCTGTGTAGAGGAAGTGCCACTTTTTGGATAATTAAACAGATTCATTTTGTCTTTGCTTCCCTTTTTGTCCTTTTGCTTTGGCTAGAAGCATTTATTTCTCATTTGACAGGCTTGTCAAATCAATTATGGAAGTTGCTTCTCATTGGCAGAACTCAATTGCCGACTTGCTTAACCTACCTGGTTTAGTGGCTTAAATTAAATGGGAATTTAATTTAATTAAGCCAAAACGCTTAAATTAAAGTGTGCTGAAAAAGCTCCTGTTATCATGAAATGTCCATTTGTCACTTGCTAAGTGACTTGAAAGTGTTTGTGAAAACCCAATCCTTATATCTAAACAGTTTAAATTAGTCCCATATGATAATATGAATTGCTGATGTGTTGAAAAGTCATCAGAATCCCAATATCATATGTTATTAAGAACAACAAAGTGTTGGCAGAGTTCTTTGAGATTTGCAAGTAGTTTTGTTATTGGCTGTCACATTCTTCACCTATTCAAACATTTATCAACTTTGGAGAATATTACTACGTTATCTTTTCCTAGTATTTGTATTATCTCTCCCTTGAAAGCTTATTTTGGTTACATTACAAAGCCATTTGTTACAAATAATAACATTTTCATCATACGACCTTGTTGTTGTCCTTGTTCTCTTGGAAAAATTGTCGCTAACTACATTTGAATGATGCCACTTGAGTATTGGTTAAAAAGGGTAAGAACTAGGAGACCCACAGTAATCAGTTTAAGCAACATTACACTTGGGGATGTGAGCATCCTGTGGGCTGCTTTGACTTTTTGTGGTGGCTTAAATTTAACGAGAATTTAAGTTGATTAAGCTGACTCGCTTAAATTAAAGTGTCTTGAAAAAGCTGCTGTTTTCATGAAATGTCCAATTGTCACTCGCTAAGCAATCTGAAAAAGTGTTCATGAAAACACAACCATAATATTTTTACAGTTTAAATCAACGCCATAAGGGGAACAATATGAATAGCTGTTGTGTTGAAAAGTCATCAGATTCCTGATATCATACGGTATTAAACAAAACAAAACATATGTAGAATTCCTTGAGGTTTGCAAGTAGTTTCTTTATTGGCTATCACATTCTTCACCTATTCAAACATTTATCAACTTTGGAGCACATTACTACATTATCTTTTCCAAGTATTTGTATTATCTCTCCCTTGAAAGCTTATTTGGGTTACATTAAGAAGCCATTTGCTACAAATAATAACATTTTCATCATAGGACCTTGAGGTTGTCCTTGTTCTCTTGGAAAAATTGTCGCTAATTACATTTGAATAATGCCAAGTTATGCAACGTTACACTTGGGGATGTAAGCGTCCTGTGGGCTGTTTTGACTTTTTGTGGGGACTTAAATTTAATGAGAATTTAAGTTCATTAAACCAACTTGCTTAAA